TTTGGTATTGGGAGGGAAAGGCTAATTGGGTATTTTAGAAATTTTGAACTTCCTCCTGGGAGTTCTCACTCAGGCTGAAGCTCAGCTCGATCAGGCTCAGGTGGCGGCTGTTATTAACCACCGTAATCACTCGGGGAACACAGCGTTGCACTGGGCAGCGCTGAACACGCATTTGGAGTGCGTGAAGGCGCTTGTTGGGGCGGGTGCTGATATCTCCATTACGAATGATGCTGGGTTAGATCCTGTGTTCCTCGCTGAGCGAGCTGATTGGTCAACCGAGGAGCAGGGTGAGGAGCAGGATGAGGCTGAGGCTGAAGTAAAGGCAGAGGCACAGGATGGTGAAGGCGATGCTGGGAAAATGTCCAAGGGGAGACAGGTTGTGGAGTGGTTGTTGAGTTCGGAGAAGGGTAGTGAGTTGGAAAGCGGTGCTGGGGAGAATGCTCCTGCTGCTGCGGAGGGATCGATGCAATGATTTACGCTTTTATGGACTTCTATAGATGTGTGGGAACTGGATAGAAAAGTTCTTGTTTTTTACCATTTCATTCAGTGATATTCGTACATTCGTCCCTCATTTGCTCGGCTTGCCATGCCCCATCCTGTCTATCGTTCAGTTCCCTTAGCTGGTTGGGGCTTGTTTGGAGGTAGGCTGGGGTGTCTTTCCACTGCTAATTTCTCGAACTTTCATGTCTAGTCCGACTCGGAAACGCCGGTTGCGCCAAGTAACGGTTACGCCACCGTAGAAGGCCCAGATCCATATGGGGAGGGCTAGAAACTCGCGTCCAAGCCACGCCGAGAACCATTGAGCGAATGTTCGTCTAGTCAAATGGCAAGAGGGAGGCCGTGCAAAAGATGGTGTATCCTCATCGAGCTCAACCGATTTGGCGGAATGCAACTTTATATAGAGTGTCCAATCAGTCAGTATCCAGATGGCCAAGCTGAGGAAGAAAAAGGCGAAGAAGGCAGTCCAAGTTGTCATATAAGCTGCACAACAGAACCCTTTTTCCTGTAGAAACTGAGCCAAGGACGTTGTCACTCCCCAGGCGCCGTAACACGAGCAGAGCAAGGACTCTGTGCCCGGCTCGACTAAGGTCGCTAGGAGAACAGTGAACTTGCGGACACGTAGCCAGCGAACCCGACGCGCAATGTAATCCCCAATACTCATGTTTCCCACAGGCTGGATCGCCAGATCTCCAAAGACCATTCCGTGCTTGCCAAAACGCTCGCCGTTCTCTTTCTCCTCGCGGACGCGATTCTTCCAGAGTAGGTCTCCGATCAGATGATCCTCGCAAATATTGTCGGAAAAGTAATCGATACCAGGGTTGCGCTTGTGGGGATCGGTAGGGGACGGCGTGGTCAGATAGTCGAGGTGCGACCGCCGGAACATATTGGATTTACCCACGATACAGGGTGCGATGAGGACTGTGTTGATTGCGGTGTACATTTTTGCATGAGAAGACGAAAGGAACAATTCTTCTAGGCGGCCTCCACCTGTTGCAAGAGTACCCTGTTCGTGTTTGGAGATAGTCGGCGCGGAGGACACATCGCTGCTTGGATCTGCATCGCCGTTGGTATAAGATTCCACCAGGGCATTCTGCTCTTCTGTTAAACTGGCACCGCTAGTGACGTCCACGACGAGCGGCAAGTGATGTACAAATTTGTACTTTTTGCCCGAGGTAGCACCCAGTCCGCAAAGCCGGTCGACCATCCTCCCACAGACACCTTTGCCTACCCAAACATTGCAATCTATGATCCAGACGATATCACCCTTGGCCTCTCTATAAGCCCGACTCATGTTCCGAATTTTCGGATTTGGTCCCAGGTCGTAGATACGTTCCCCATCTGGCTGGAGCAAAGGATCCTCTTCCTCTATAAAAATGCGTGCACCGGCGTGTGGGAAATCGGATACAAGCTTTTGCAGGGTTGGGTAGCCAGGGTCGTTTCGAGATGCGACACAAAAATAGACGCTAAGTTTGTCGGCTGGATAATCCTGACGGAAGGTCGAAGCCAGACAGTCATACAGATTCGGCTCGAGACCTTTGACGGGTCGGATTGCGGTGACATGGGGAGCGTCGGAGGCTGTCGCGGAGTGGGATTTCCGGGGTCTTTGGAGAAAGTATCGCCATCTGTTTGAAGCCGCATTAGTTTGTGTCACAGTAAGCATATATTCAAATACACCCAATAGAAAATAGAACATAAATCAGAAGAGAGAATCAAAGGCGGAATAGAAAGCTTTACATTTGAAAGTACCCCAGATAACAGACCAAGACCACGGTTGCATACCAGATCAGACACCCCCAACCCACGATCACAGACCACCGGAGCCCGCCATTGCTAATGGTCGGTCCAAAATCGAGGGAGATCGAACGCGATTGAAGCTTTAGCATAGGCGGATATCGACGCGGTAAGACTATACGGTTGGCAAAAAAGACGTAGTCAACGTCGCAACAACATTCTATGGACGGGAAGTCGGGGAAGTGAAGTGCGGAGAGCAATTGCGGTCAGTTGACTCGTTGTAGGAGGCCTTAACACTCGATGTTTCAACGTTCAACCTTTGCTTTTTTTTTTCTAGTGGCTGCCACGCAACAGCCGAACTGGGAAAAGGTATGAACTAAATTAGTTCCGTGGTTGCTCCATTCGGATGCAGCGGACGCCGTCCATTATATGGGTCGGTTCATCATGCGGTGGATTCCTGTAATTTCACACCTCCCGTGGAGCCGCGTCGAACGAGTTCTCTCTTATTTCGAGTTCGTTTTTACATAGGATAGCAAGCCCTATATGCTTGTGTGAAATTAGGGAAGATATTCGGAGGAATAATCAAAATTAACACGAAACCAAAACTATATTTACATGCTTCAAGGGATCGAATTGATCACTTCTGGTATTTAGTCCATGTGGCCCGTTCGTCATTTATCGGTTCCACGGATCTAAATCGCCCAGATAGCGATAGATCTAAGAATAGTATCAAGAAGAAGAAGAAGAAGAAGAAGAAGAAGAAGAAGAAGAAGAAGAAGAAGAAGAAGAAGAAGAAGAAGAAGAAGACAAATGCCCAAAGACAAATCACTGTTTTGAATATACCTTTTAATGCCCTGTTTTCCCAAATAGAAGACCCCAAATCGCTGAATGTCCTTTAATTCCGTTTACAACTCCAACCAATGCGAGAAGCATCTGTTGTCTGATCTAAGCCTTCTTCTTCTTCCGGATCAAGTTCGCTTGAAGCACATTGACTCCAGGTGATGTATTCGTCCCTGTTGTACTAGTCTCTGCTGTCGCCGCACTTGAGACTGTACCGTCCCCCTCTCGCCCTTCATTTTGTGCTGTTGTTGCTTGGCTCTGCTCATCTTTCTTTCGCTTTCGAACCAATCCAGTGTTGATGATGTTTGTTATTGGGGCAGCTTCATCGACAGATTCCCCAGACGTGCCCCTTCCTGTGACCTGCTGACCGACCCAAAGCTGGTCCACGATGGATGCGACTTTCTCACTCCACGCTTTAGTGCTGGCTATAGAAACCTCTTGGTTGTAGAAGTCTTGCTCAAGTAGGAAATTGATCGCGGTTTTGTAATCTTCTTCACTCATAACAGCGTGACCGCGGCCTGCTTCTGGCCAGTAGAATGCGTTCAGGTCTGTGTTCGACTGTATTTTGGGATGGGACTCAGAAGACAAGCTGTCCGTCTGGGAAGATGGGTCTTGCACAGGACCACCTGACGTTGCCTCTGCTATAGAATCTTTGGCGGCGTCTGAAGACTGGGAATTAAAAGAAATAGGCACTTCTGGCCTGGTAGGTTTTGAATCCACCTTGTCAGATCCCGGGACGGTCGTTGTCGAGGAATCCTTTGCTTTCTCTTTGAAAACAGGTCTAGAGCTTGTCATTTGAACAGAATTGACAAGTCCTGGGGGATTAATAACAAGCCACAAGAATCCGACCAGTCGTCCAGCAGAACACTCCTGCCGGAAAGACATCATCTCCCAGAACTGGTCTAGGGATTTGACGCTCCTCCACTGCCCAGCGCCCTCCTTCGAGCCCGCAATCTCCGATTGTTGCGGGAGTTCATCGTCCAGGTCAACCAGGAAGCGCGTTTTTGGATCATCTGGAAAACGAGGAATTAAGCAGCGTGGAGGCGCTTTGGTGTTATCGCACAGCTGATGAAGCGGGTAGTTGTTCAGCCACCTGGGGCGTTCTTTATCATCTGACTTTGCGGCACCGGGAAAGAAACCTCGAGTTTCAAATTTGTCGCATCCTGGGACAATCAAAAATGCTGTTGCAGAGCTTTTAGCGGATTCCATGGCACGGTCAAGGAGACCTTTCTCGTGGGATCCTGATTCCGGCTCATACTCGCGCAATATGGGGTCGACGACGCGACACCACCATTTAATCAGGCCCCTATCGTCGAGAACATGCTTTCCTGAATTTTCGATGCTGCCGGGGAACAGATACTGATTCTGAGCCCGAGCGAACAATGACACCACTTGCCGAACGCCCGGCCGTTGATGCGTCTGCACCAGGAAAGACAGGAAGCCATTAGAGATGCGCCTGATGAGCGAAACTTTTGGTGCATCCTTCAGTAAATGCAGGAATCCAGTAGAATCGGCCTTGGAGACGAAAACAGTCGTTAAATGCGCTGTGCTGTAGACCAGAACTTCGATTCCAAAGACGATAATCTCAGGTCCATCATGCTCGACGGCATTCACGGAGACGGTCAGAAAATGGTTTTCACAAAACGTCGACTCGGGCTCTTCGCCTGGAGGAGGCGCAAAGAGCGCTGTGCATGGGGTAGGGGCTGACGAGATATGGCGAATGGTGACCTTGACACCGGTGGGGAGCACCTTAGCCAAGAGATCTCCCAGATCAACATCGACCTTAGACATCGGGTCTGTTGAGAACTAGACTGTAAGCTTCATATAAAGACAGGGATCTGAATTAATAGTCGCGAGTTATTTTTCCTATTCATCTCTTTGCTTTCCCCATTCATGATCTATTTTTCCTTTGGTCCAGAAGCCTCACGGACGGTCACGTGCAGCGGACTGGCCCTTTTTCAGCTGATCGTCAGGGAAACTGTTTACCTTTTCGTCACATCTTGATAAGATAGTGAGATTCTATCATGTACTCCCGTTCCATGACGCTTTACCAGCCACCCGTAGTCGTAATGGCCGAATTTCTATTTGAGGACTACGATGACGATCGCCATTGAAACCACTTTATGTTCGATGTACTCTCAATTTCTAGTCTGGATGGCATAACATGTGGAGATGCATATAATGTACAATTAGAAGTAAGCCGCAACCGCATCCAAGTCATCAGCATTCAACAAAGCCACACCTTCCTGGAGAAGCGTCCGCCATACAGCATTACGAGTCCGGATCGGATAATAAGGGGTCTCCCAGTATCTAGAACCAATCCCCCTCTCCTTTGCAGTACTGATCTGGGATCGAAGGGTAGCTAGCTGTTTGTCGCTCAGAACAGCCTCATCCTCACTA